CGGTGGAAAATCAAAAAGAAATAAAAAGAATATAATAAGCAATTTCCACCAATTAAACGGCTCCGCGCCATACCCAACAGTTTGTTTCAGCAGACTGACTCAGATCCGATGGACATACATAAATAGAACGATGAATTCACTTCTGTTCAGAAAGCCTTGAAGTTACCGTCATAGAATGTCGCTACGCTTTTCTCACCCATCAACCCGACGCCTCCAGTTTTCCTTCACCAACGGAGATATCAAATGACACCTACCAACCCATTGACCTCACCTTTCATCTCCTGGGACCAGCACGCCTTAAACTTAAGTATTCACAAAATGACACTTTAATTCCTTTCATAATCTGATTTCTTTTCTTTGAATGAACATTTTAATAACGGACTTTGTGCGTGTTAATCAAGAAACATTATACTTATCATTGATGTGTATTTAAATATAAAGTGTTTCTGATACACCCTTCTCTTTCATATTTTGTTTGTTTATGTTATGGTGACCTCAATTTGATTGTTTGTTGAACCTTTAGGCCAAACTATCAGCTGTCCCGAAGGACTGCTACTGCTTACCTACCTTCTTATACAAGCAACAATTACCAACGAATATACACTCTTCCCACAACACCACAAGTGGTGACCCCGACGTGATTTTAACACATATATATACACACACGCACAACAACAACCCTTTTCCCTCTGACCACCACTCTTATCAAGACTTACACTTCTACCTGTTTTCTTTTGCTACCTTTCCTTCTTTTCTATTCTTCATCTTCTTTTTTCCCCCTTTTTTTCCTTTCTTCTTTCCCCTATCTGGGCTTTTTTTATTTCAGTAATTTATCATCCATTGATTGTTTGAAAAATCCAATAAATTTAATCTTACAAGGTGAAAATGATCATTTACATTATGGTATATTAATTCCTATTGTATGACATATATTGCTCTGTTTATTAAAAAAAACATTGAGCTGTATGTGTGAATCAGTTTTAATATTTAATATTTTATATTTTGTTAATATGATTCACTTGGATCGTATACCAACGGATTTATATATATATATATATATATATATATATATATATATATATATATATATATATATATTAACTGATTTAAAATAATTTATAATATTTATGTTCTGTAAATTTACATTGAGCATTGTTTTGTAAAAATGAAATATATCAATAAGAACACCGGATTATATATCTTACTGTTCTTTCTTTTTATAATATATATATATATATATATATATATGTGTGTGTGTGTGTGTGTGTGTGTGTGTGTGTGTGTGTGTGTGTGTGATCAAACAACTCTATGAAATTGCATCCTCATCGAATGAACATTTGCAATCTTGATCTTATAGCAGTATATATATATTTTAATCATTTCACCTCAAGCAAGGCAGAGATGCCACTAGTTTCTAGGAGGTTAAAGAGGAAGCTCAGAATAGGGATCAATGAGGAAAGGGCAAAAGATGAATGGGATTCAAGAAGACAGAAGATGTCGATTGATATTGCATTTAAATTTTTGAAGATCAGGGAAGCAAGTAAACGGAAGCGGGAAGTGCGAGAAAAGAAGCTGTTGGAGTAGGAGTGACGGTTGCATTTAGATATTTCAACAGTAAACGGGTGGGACCTAGATGCCAATCTAGTAGCACGTTCATGCAGTCGGGGCATCAGGGAAAAAAGCTCGTCAGAGCAGTCGCCATGAAAATATTTGTAGAAAAGACAGAGAAAAGTTACGTCACGTCACGTCAGTGAGAAAGGAACTGAATTCGAGATGCCAGGTCAGGATCGATTACATTGCAGATTCTTTGGATTTTGTCAAGAATTGCGAGAATCTCGATCGACAGAGACTTATTTTTTCCTCCACCAGAAATGAGACTCATAATCTATTTAATCTCTTCCTAAACATTGCTTTGCGCGTATACAAGCAGGGACGTGAATGAGCCTTGATTATTCAAACATTTCGTACCACATCACAAACGAATCTGCTAATAGAAAACAGTGTTCCTGTTTTCCCTATAGATAACCGTCCTGGGTAAGACGATAAACTACATCCAGCAGCAAGGCTTCTGATCAGGAGGTTTTGAGGAGCAACGTAGAACCACCTCTTAATTGCTGGTATTCCCAGGTCCACCTTGACCCGGGGTATTTAGCACCTGTTAGGGTCCCAGCTATCGGCAAATAGTTAACCCCGCCAAACTGGGGTCAAAACTCTATGAAATTGTAAAAATAGGTTTTAATTTTTGGAAACAAATATTTCCAGCAATCTTGGCATCAAATAGCCCATCGAGGTTGATATGCCGTAAAACAGACCAAACCAAAGCAAACCTACAGATACAAGTGTACTAATAAAGAGGTTGGTGCTAAGTTGATAACTTAGCTATTTATTCTTGAGATTGTAATGATTTTGAAGAAAAAAACATCAACAAATTTACAAAGTGTTACAAGAAGTATGACTTACGATAAACCTTTCCAAAATAAAAAAAAACAAAAACTCTGATTTAGAATTGGGATGAAAATAGTGATGGCGCATTTCCAGAATTCATAAGAAAAAAAAATCAAGATAGTCGTATTCATAAATTCGAAACCCTTCAAATAACTCAGTATATAAATTGTTTATAACAAATCTAGTATATGAGATAATGTAGTTGGACATAGTATAAACTGAGTTCGGGATATTTTCTCAAAAAACACAATATGCTACTATTAGTATGGTTTATAAGCCAGCCATAATTTACAGGCTTTTCAGTGCCGGGAAGAATAATGCTTTAGCTTTCATGTAAACCAAGTACGAATATTAGCATTTGTGCAGCCATTGATACATTAACACTGAATGCGTATAGAGAAAGACGAGATACACGCCCGAAACAAACTACACATTTAATCAGGCAAAATACAATTTACATAAACATATTAAAAAGATTTACACATGTCCTAAAACAAATGATTGTTCATATTGTCCAAAGGATGAGAATGTTTAACAGAACAATGAACAAAGAAACATACCAGGTAGGGGAATCAAAATTCCTTCTTTCTTCACATTGTGCACATGTTGTCTATTTTCCATGTATGTGGACGCCCTGGTGTTTAGGAAGGTATTAACCATTCCTCAAAAGGGAAGCAAAAGGGAAAAAAGGAAAGAAGAGTTCTCTTCAAACAAAGTTAAAAGCCAATAGTCAGACTGAAAGATTGAATAAATGGCAAAACCACTTTAAAAACCTCTTGGGAAATTTACCTGAAATTTTAGATACTAAGGTCGAACAAATCTTTGAACATCCTCTTGACTTATGACACTGACGAAGAGAAAATTACTTCTATGAGTATCTTTTATAAGCCAGCCATAATTTACCGGCTATTTAGTGCTAGAAAGAATAACGTTTTCCTGTAAACCAAGTACTAATATTTAGTGTAACCATTGATACACTAACACTGAATGTGAATTTAGAAAAACGTGATACACATCCGTAACAAACAAAACATTTAATCAGGCAAAATACAATTTACATAAACATATTAAAAAGATTTACACATGTCCTAAAACAAATGATTGTTCATAGTGAACGAGAATGATTAACAGAGCAACGGACGAAAGAAATAACATACCAGCCTTATGGCCTTTGGCCGTCCGTAGCTAAGTGAATTAAAATTACTTTTTTCTCCACCTTAGGTTGTGCACAAAATATTAATCAAAGAACAGGACTCATAATGCCAAATAGCTTCGTTAGATTTAGATTCTCATGTGGGTGTCAATGCATGACACTACCTTAAACAAAAGTTTAGGAAGGAACGTTGTGGATTCCGGGATGAAATCAGGTACCAATAAATAACAAACGCCAAGAAGGAATATAGGAAATTTAACGTAATAATACAAACTGGTAATGCAGGTTTAGTAGTTCCAGGAATACGGGTTAGTAGCAAAATATAGAGTCTTTGGTATTGAAGTATCGCTGTATGACTTCTTACTGAGTCTACGTGCTCGCTCACTGTGACTCCTACAACGCTGTTACCTCACCCCTCACTTTTCCGGTTACCTACAACCTTTTACTCTGTCACTCTCGACTCGACTCGACTCTACGGGTATTCACTGACAGTAGTATAAATAGTATAAGTATACATTGGGTGAGTCCATTTGTATAAAAAGGGGTGGACCCCTCAACAAGGAAAGTCCTCGTATTACTACAAAAAGCAACAACAGCGGACTTGAGAATCCAACATGTTTCCGAGAAAGACTTCCACCGACAGTAATGCTAAGCTTTTGACCAATGAATACAGAATGTTTATTGTATGGAAACAACTCTTCTCACCATTTTTGTTACAATCCATATTTAGTGGAGCAAGTAGTGCTTTATGTAGTCAGTCAGGAAGACGGGGGTGAGGTCTATTAATATTTAGAGTTTAATCTACTTTTACATCTGTGCGGGTTTTAGTATTAAAATTCTTTTTTAATATCTGCCATCAGAATTGCTGAGATTAAGGCCAAAGATCTATAAATGTTTTCCTTAAAAAACTTAGAGCGAGGGGGAAAGTGGCGACAGATTAACTGATGAGCATATAAACATGTGCAACTCGTATTTGTAAACATAATATGGCTTCTTATTCTGCTTATCTCCATACGCTTTCAATGCAAGTCTTTCTTGAAAATTATTTGCTTCTTGACGAGAAACGTGACTAACTTTTGAACTGAACTTCCTCAATATACAGTTGAAGTGAGAATTAGATAACGAATTAGATTCATATGTATGTGTATGCACATGTGTACACATATACATATGAAACGGGAGTATTTTATTTTCGTCGTTTCCCTGTACAAGAGAATGACGTGAGTTATTCACAGAAAACATTAAAATAGATCAGGACGTTCGGCTGTTTCGGTATTCTTTGAGAAAACATACGAAGCAACTTATCCCTTTCTTTATATAGGAAAGGCGTGTTTTTTATTTCTTTAAAATTATAAAACAATTTCGCTATAAAACATTCAAAGATCGTTCAATTAAGATTGCAATGAAATCGTCTGGTTTGAATAAAGAACTGGGAACAAAAGCGGTAAGTAGAAACGTTTTCATTTTTTTTCCTTGAAAGATTTGTTAAGACACAATTATTATTTTCGCTCTGATTTTCATGTTGGTATTTGCCTTTTTTTCTTCTCCAATAGACTTTTATTACATACAAGAGCACTTACTTTACAGTACCAAAATTCTGAAATGTTATTATTTTTATTTCATTTTATATTATCTTTTAAGTTGATTTAACCCAACCCTAACTCTAAACCTAGCTTCAATCTTAAATCTGAAAATTGCAATATATTAAAAAAAAATGGTCAATAGTTAAGACGTATTGTAGACACGAGGAAAGTTTCCTATGCACAAAATGGGAAATCAGAATTGGAAATTAAAAGTAAAAGGAAAAAGAATCCCACGCCCCTACATTGGCAAAAATAAGTAAAAATAAATCAAATATGAAGTTTTGGTTCTTGACATAAAATGGGACGGAGGTGATATATTCAAATACAAAACGGCATCAGTTGGAATTATAAACAAACCAGCCTGGAAACACAAAAAGGTGAAACTGAAGTAGCGGGTGATGTACTTACATCTTTTTAAAATCAAAGTTTTTACTACTGCGCTAAAACTTAAGGATTGAATACATTTGAAAACGGCTAAGACGTGTCAATCACGGGATAAAGTTGTCTGTAATCGATTTAACTGAGTGAATAAATCATATTGTCGGAGTTAACTCCTCCTTAATTATCCAAATTGTAGATTAGGGGACGTTCTCCCTACACTACAAATACTGGGCGATTTATTGCCTCGTTCTCTTTTTCATTTCTTCATTTTCAGCGAACACATCTACAATGTAAGCTCTCGCAGAAGATTGCGTCACCCCACTTGTGGGAAACGCCAGGGCATTTTACACACATACGCGTACATACGAACATTCACCAAAATAAAAACACTATGACCTTTGTAAATTCTGTTGTTTAATACATATAATTGTTGTATATATATATCGGTCTTGTTTGTTTTCTTTACACTTGTTTATGGTGGATTCAAATTCTGAGTCCGCCATGTTCTTGTAGTTTTAATTTAACAACGCGTAAACCCACGGGCCGCTAAAACATTACTATGAGAATAGGGCTATAATCTGTATAATTATCATTATGTAGCAGAGTTTTACTATAGGAATGCATTGCAAAAGAGGAGAAAAGGGATTGTCAGTGGTCAGGAATGAATGCAAGCATTACTAAAAGAATAGGACTATTATATGTAGAATTATTATTTTGTAGCAGTGTTTTACTATAGGAATGTATTGCAAATGAGGAAAAAAGGGATTGTCAGTGGTCAGGAATGAATGCAAGCATTACTATAAGAATAGTGCTATCATCTATATAAATTATTATTTTGTAGCAGTGTTTTTCTATAAGAATGCAGTGCAAATGAGGAAAAAAGGGATTGTTAATGGTCAGGAATGAATGGAAGCATTACTATAAGATTAGGGATCTTGTCCGTATAATTATTATTTTATAGCAGTGTTTTACTGTAGGAATGCATTGCAAATGAGGAAAAAAGGGATTGTTAATGGTCAGGAATGAATGGAAGCATTACTATAAGATTAGGGATATTGTCTGTATAATTATTATTTTATAATTATGTTTTACTGTTTTTTCGATAGGAATGCATTGCAAATGAGGAAAAAAGGGATTGTTAATGGTCAGGAATGAATGGAAGCATTACTATAAGATTAGGGATATTGTCTGTATAATTATTGTTTTATAGCAGTGTTTTACTATAGGAATGCATTGCAAATGAGGAAAAAAGGGATTGTTAATGGTCAGGAATGAATGGAAGCATTACTATAAGATGAGGGATATTGTCTGTATAATTATTATTTTATAGCAGTGTTTTTCGATAGGAATGCATTGCAAATGAGGAAAAAAGGGATTGTTAATGGTCAGGAATGAATGGAAGCATTATTAAAAGAATAGGACTATTATTTGTATTAGATAATTATTTTTGCAGTGTTTTACTATAGGAATGCATTGCAAATGAGGAAAAAAGGATTGTCAGTGGTCAGGAATGAATGGAAGCATTACTATAAGATTAATAGTATAATTATTATTTTATAGCAGTGTTTTATAATGCATTATTTTGCTAGTGGTCAGTGAATTTACTATAAGATTAGGGAATGCATTTATTATTTTAAATGAGTTTTTCTAAATGCATTGCAAATGGGGGATTGTCAGTGGTCAGGAATGAATGGAAGCATTACTATAAGATTAGGGATATTGTCTGTATAATTATTATTTTATAGCAGTGTTTTACTATAGGAATGCATTGCAAATGAGGAAAAAAAATGGATTGTCAGTGGTCAGGAATGAATGGAAGCATTACTATAAGAATAGGGATATTGTCTGTATAATTATTATTTTATAGCAGTGTTTTACTATAGGAATGCATTGCAAATGAGGAAAAAGGGATTGTTAATGGTCAGGAATGAATGGAAGCATTACTATAAGATGAGGGATATTGTCTGTATAATTATTATTTTATAGCAGTGTTTTACTATTTTGCAAATAGGAAAAAAAGATTGAATGGTCAAATGAATGGAAGATTAAAAATGGGATATGAAGAAAATGATTATTAATGGTCAGGAATGAATGCAAGCATTACTATAAGATTAGGGATATTGTCTGTATAATTATTATTTTATAGCAGTGAATGATTTTACTATAGGAAAAAAGCATTGCAAATGAATGGAAAAAAAAAATTTGTCTGTATAATTAATAGGTCAGGAATTGAATGGAAAAAAGCAGGAATTGGAACTTATATAAGATGAGGGATATTGTCTGTATAATTATTATTTTATAGCAGTGTTTTTACTATAGGAATGCATTGCAAATGAGGAAAAAATGGATTAATTAATGGTCAGGAATGAATGGAAGCATTACTATAAGATGAGGGATATTGTCTGTATAATTATTATTTTATAGCAAAACTACCTGTTTTTTACTATAGGAATGCATTGCAAATGAGGAAAAAAGGGATTGTTAATGGTCAGGAATGAATGGAAGCATTACTATAAGATGAGGGATTGTCTGTTATAATTATTTTTTACTATAGGAATGCATTGTGATTTTACTAATAATGGAAGCATTACTATAAGATTAGGGATATTGTCAAATGAGTGTTTTACTAAAAATTGCAAAGATTGTTAATGGTCAGGAATGAATGGAAGCATTACTATAAGATGAGGATATTGTTATTATTTTATATAATTTACATAAGATATTGCATTTTATAATGGTCAGTGTTTTTACTATAAGATTAGGGATATTGTCATTGCAAATGAGGAAAAAAAATGGGATTGTTAATGGTCAGGAATGAATGGAAGCATTACTATAAGATGAGGGATATTGTCTGTATAATTATTATTTTATAGCAGTGTTTTAACTATAGGAAAGCATTGCAAATGAGGAAAAAAGGGATTGTTAATGGTCAGGAATGAATGGAAGCATTACTATAAGATCAGGGATATTGTCTGTATAATTATTGTTTTATAGCAGTGTTTTACTATAGGAATGCATTGCAAATGAGGAAAAAAGGGATTGTTAATGGTCAGGAATGAATGGAAGCATTACTATAAGATGAGGGATATTGTCTGTATAATTATTATTTTATAGCAGTGTTTTACTATAGGAATGCATTGCATATGAGGAAAAAAGGATTGTTAATGGTCAGGAATGAATGGAAGCATTACTATAAGATTAGGGATATTGTCTGTATAATTATTATTTTATAGCAGTGTTTTACTATAGGAATGCATTGCAAATGAGGAAAAAAAAGGATTGTTAATGGTCAGGAATGAATGGAAGCATTACTATAAGATTAGGGATATTGTCTGTATAATTATTATTTTACAGCAGTGTTTTACTATAGGAATGCATTGCAAATGAGGAAAAAAGGGATTGTTAATGGTCAGGAATGAATGGAAGCATTACTATAAGATTAGGGATATTGTCTGTATAATTATTATTTTACAGCAGTGTTTTACTATAGGAATGCATTGCAAATGAGGAAAAAAGGGATTGTTAATGGTCAGGAATGAATGGAAGCATTACTATAAAAGCATGAGGGGGATATTGTCTGTAATAATTATTAAGATTTATTGTCTGTATAATGTTTTTACTATAGGAATGCATTGCAAATGAGGAAAAATGGGATTGTTAATGGTCAGGAATGAATGGAAGCATTACTATAAGATTAGGGATATTGTCTGTATAATTATTATTTTGCAATAGCAGTGTTTTCGATAGGAATGCATTGCAAATGAGGAAAAAAGGGATTGTTAATGGTCAGGAATGAATGGAAGCATTACTATAAGATTAGGGATATTGTCTGTATAATTATTGTTTTATAGCAGTGTTTTTACTATAGGAATACATTGCAAATGAGGAAAAAAGGGATTGTTAATGGTCAGGAATGAATGGAAGCATTACTATAAGATTAGGGATATTGTCTGTATAATTATTATTTTATAGCAGTGTTTTTCGATAGGAATGCATTGCAAATGAGGAAAAAAGGGATTGTTAATGGTCAGGAATGAATGGAAGCATTACTATAAGATTAGGGATATTGTCTGTATAATTATTGTTTTATAGCAGTGTTTTACTATAGGAAAGCATTGCAAATGAGGAAAAAAGGGATTGTTAATGGTCAGGAATGAATGGAAGCATTACTATAAGATTAGGGATATTGTCTGTATAATTATTGTTTTATAGCAGTGTTTTACTATAGGAATGCATTGCAAATGAGGAAAAAAGGGATTGTTAATGGTCAGGAATGAATGGAAGCATTACTATAAGATTAGGGATATTGTCTGTATAATTATTATTTTATAGCAGTGTTTTTCTATAGGAATGCATTGCAAATGAGGAAAAAAGGGATTGTTAATGGTCAGGAATGAATGGAAGCATTACTATAAGATTAGGGATATTGTCTGTATAATTATTATTTTATAGCAGTGTTTTACTATAGGAAAGCATTTCA